CCCCACCCTCCCCCACCCTCCCCCACCCACCCTAAAGAAACTAACACAACCCAATATAATAGCCTTTTTATTGCATCAAACTAGAATGCATTAGCACAAGTGAAATAGTTTAATTCAGGCAATAAAAACCACAATAATATTAGTTAATTTCTTTAACGAAACTCAAAAAACAGATAATTCCGCCAAGGTTAAGTATGCATCTTCACAATAAAAACGGTGATCAAGCTGCAGTAGAAATAAACATAATGCAAATAACTTGGTACAGAAGTAGGGAGCTCATGCCTTTGTCTGCTTCAAGAAGCTTGCAGGATTAGCTAATGAAGACAATTGGGGTAAACCATCCTTGTTATCCAGATTATCACCAGGGAAAAACTTAATGTATTCCGTAGCATGTCCATTCAATTTTAGCTCATTGATATTCTCAATAAACTTATCAACTGGAACTGTGTGTCTCCCAACCAATGCAGGCATATTCTCGAAAGGATTTAAGGGCATACAGTCAATGTCCTGCCAGGGTAAATGAGTTTCATAAATACCACAAGGAAGTGGAATGACATAGCAACAGAACATATATACAATATATATGGAAGCATTACAAGTAGCCACAAGCGACTTCCACAGAATTTTTACCATATAATACATTTATAGTGCAATTACAAGCTTAATCATTCCCAATCAGACTTAGGTCTAACTAAGTGAATGAATGACATAAAATACACATAAGATCAGGAGACAGCAGTTTGGCCAGGACAGGACACAGGCTGATTGTATGACGTAGATGCAATTGGATATGTATCCAACTCTATTCTATTCTATTAAATATTTTATTTTTTTAATAAAAAATAATAATTAATTGTGCTGTGATAGGGGAAAAGTAAAATAATGATCGGTAATGAAAAATGTGAATGGATGAATAGTATGTAATTGGTTAGGAAAATGTGGGTGGAAGAAAGAGAACATAGTGAAACGAAGGAATTAATACGATTGGATTAGATGCATGTCCAATTGCACTTGAAGAATAAATGCAGAAGCAATATTGATCTGTTGGGACGCTCAAATAATGTAAAGTTCTGATGAAAATTCAAGCTGAAGATAAGAAGTAGATTACTTTAACAAATTCAACCCCTAGTTCCGGACGGTCAAATTGAACGCGGCACTTGTAGTGATCAACAGTTAGCACACTTCCATCATTGATATCCCTTGTTTTTGGATGAATGGCAATTACACGCTGCCCAACTGATAAAGGCCTTGCAAGATCTGTCGGCAGACCATCCCTGATTCCTTCACGGAGCTCAGTGTAATGTCTTCGAACAGAATCTCGATACTGATTGAGCTTCTCTTTTTCTTCCTTCAGAAATTGCTCTGAAAAACGCCGTGGTTTACCAAGAGAGCTGTTTTGACAACAGAGCAGATATTGACGCATTACCGTGATTTGCATCCCCATTGTTGAATAGAAGCAAAAATAATAGCGATACAGTAAATAAATAAAACCAATACAAAATTAAAGTCAGAGTGTACCTTCTTATAACACCCCATTCCACATGAGTTAATGTTGGCACATGACCTAATCCTACGTGATACAGATACTCCACAAACTCTCTCTTAGAAAACCATGGATAATCAATGGCACTATAGAACCACTCATAAGTGCACCATCTCCTTAGCCGCTGATTTAATAAACAATTAGACAGCATTTCCTGTGTGACACAAGATGAGAATTGAAAGTCAATATTTGTGTTATCAAACTTCAGATATTTGGAGGCAAAAGAGAACCAAACCTTAGACTTAAGCATCGTGTCATGGAGTGAACCAAGAGGCAGATTACTCAGGTCAATTTTGCCAAGTAACTTTGATTCTTCCTGAACTGGTTTCTTTAGGTTCATCTTGCGCCTGCTCCGTACTTTAGTAGGTAAA